AACTGTTATGTTTCGTTACTTTTGAGGTTCGGATCGTTAGTACTTTTAACTGACAAGTTACAAATAACCAGCTTGTCGAAGATAGTTTTTGAGACTGTCAGTGCACTCAATGAGAAAAACAAATGAAGCAATTGGTTAAGGAATGACGTTTAAAGAGAATTCTAATAAAATTCTTATCGGAAAAAATTCTAGTAAAACATATGAATTTCTAAATGAAAAAGATCTGTAAGCGGGGTTCTATAATTTTTTTATGTTTTACTGTGCCATTGACATAATTCCATATTTCCTGCAGATGTCTTTGAACACTGTAATTTTATTAATGCTTAACAATATAGGATGTGTTAATGGTCTAATGCAATAATTATTATACACCTAGTTTAAGTGGTGTCGGACTGGAATGCTCTAAATTGATGCTACCGGTCTCCGGTCTCCAAAACACATAAAAGTCATGGTATATATAACACAAACCAATACTAAAAATGTAATAAAAAGAACACACATACCTTTTAAGGGGTAAGGTTCCCATCGAATGCTAGCTGAGGATAAGGTCGTATGGAGTCGTCGGTTGGATTCTTTTAGTCAGCCTTTGAAGTCGTGATCTAATACTATAAAATAAATCTAAATTCCGCTTATTGGCTCTAAAGTTTTGGCAGTACAACCCCGAAAACCCAGACTGGCAACTACACCGACAGGGTCCATACAAGAAGGGACTGGATAACGTCGTGCCTCCATTAAGACACATCGTAGCTGCACACGCTGCCCGCCCCTCGCTTTCCGTAAACAACAAAGTAATGCAAATGATACAAGTTAAAGTCTTCCAGTTCATGTTCCAAAGATACTTGAAAATCTCGCTTGTCTCCAATCGACTATGAACATCCTCTGATATATTTCATTTATTCATAATTGTTGTAACGACACAACCACTCTACACTATATCTCTTTCAATCTGATCTCAACTACACAACTCTACTATTCCACTGGTCTTTAGAATGCTCCCCACGTAATCACCAACTGCTTTCTGATTTCACGAAGTTTCAGGAATTTCCACTTCCAGCAATGAAATGAGATCGATTCAAATAAAATATCAAACGATGGCCATTTAAAGATCTAAATATAATCCAAATCAATAAACATGATTATTTGATTGAAAAATAAACCAAAGTAAATTGTTTACAAGTTTTAAAAAAATATAAACTGTGGGTTCAAATGTTCTTATTGGTTACTCCATCTATAATCAATCTAACTAAATTATTGTCAAAGATACTTATAAATCTTAAAAACTGGAATATAAAAACCGTATAATTTAACGTCAATTGATCTTAATTTGTAGTCAATCGAGAACCTTAGTTAGAATAAATCGCTCTTTCTGATCCTTTAAACGTTCATCTGCTTTATAATTAAAAGAAATAGTTTCTCACAAAATGTTGTAAATACTTTGGATAGAGTAATCATTCTGTTGGTGGAAGCTTGTTTTTATACGGAAGATATTGCATTGATCTCACGGAAGGGAATGGGCGTATTGAAGAATCAATATATTTCCACGTCACTTTTGACTTACGTTATTAAGGCATCATTACCGCGCATTGACGACTCCACCTACTGTCACTTTGGCCAATCAGCACCCAAAATTTCGGTAATATTCCCACAGAGCTATTTATGAATGAATTGAAGGGAATGTTTCATTGATAGAGATAGAGGAATGTACTTGTTTTCAGTATTCTAGTAATTTTTAACCAACTTCTTACTACCATAGACCAATCTACTTCATTGATTAAACCAGAAATATGCTGGATATTTTAGACTGTACCGTTGTTGATATTCCGATTACTGCTATATGAAGGTACATTAGCTACAGGCAGACAATGATGTAATCAGTCTCGACTACCGACAATATTTTGAACATTGTGCTCACTTATACCCCATGTGTTCTTCATGATCAACTCAAGCGGTCCATGTCGACAGCTGATGTTCTGTAATGAGTGGATGTCCTTCATGTTTCTCACTGGTTGCTGTGTTAAAAAGTGGTTGATGTGGAATAGAATAAGTGATATTGATAACTTATAATCTGAAATCGGAGGTGCAAAATGCTTGCCTTCTGATCTGTACTTGCTGTTTGGTTCCTGCTTTTACGAATGAAGACAAACAACGCCTTGCAATGTTCAAGCACTTTTTCAACTTCCACCTGCAGGAGCATCTTTAATAGTCATATCTTGCTGATGACATGCATTGTTGTCGTACCCAAAAGACTTCACACTTTCCCATGACAGCACCTTCAACCTGAATGGATGGCGGAATCGAAAACTGAAGGTGTAATCTAAACAATATCAGAATTAATCATTGAATCCCGTGGTCAGATATTGAAATTTAAATATTTTTATTGTCATACTTGATTTAAGCAAGCGCTCGTGGGAATGTTTAAAAGTGGCTGTTTCTGAAGGTGATTGCTTAGTGTTCATTGATAGATATTATTTTCTACAACTGACCACAGTGGTTTAAGAAGAATTTGAGATAAAATACCACAACCATCCTTCACCATTAAGAATAAAGAATGTCTTTATTTGCTATTTGTCAGGTTAAAACGATCACTCATACATTTTCAACACCTGTCATTCAGATCATTCAATCATTATTATTCTTTATAAATCTCCATAAAATACCAAACATATAAATTACTCAAGCGTATCCTTGAGAGTTGTTGACGTACAAAACCAAGCCCCATATGACTTACCTAATATGGTCATTTTAAATGAAAAATTTATTGTGTTTTCCAAAGGAAATATTATGTCAAGTGTGCTGCCTTCAGTTTGCATCTAATTACCCCACTCCCATGCCCTTAAGGTTTAAGTCGCATTTATAATATATAATCCAATGTAATTACATGTATTATCATACATTTTTAGTCGTGCGAAGTCTTCAGCATATTTGCGACATATCTTATCTCTGATATCTCTCAGTTTGAAGCAAATCAAACTCCAACTACAACTTCCGTTTAGGCTGGTGTTTTTTGTTATTTCGTACACCTGGTAATTGACCTGGTACTTTATACAATTGTCAGTTAACATATATATGTGTTCAAGTGTGAGTTGAAAAAAGAGGGTTATGTTGGTAGTGAATATTCTAGATGCTTTTAGTCTTCAAGAAAAAAAAAACTAAACAAGTATTTGCATTTTTATAATTATATTAGGGCGTCAAAGATATTGTTTTATTTTCTGGACCTATTGATTAAGATTACTTGTATATTGCCCTTAAGAGGATTTTCTGTACATCGTAAATGACTTTATCACACCGCCAGTAATGAAGAAACACAGTATTTGATTTAGACGTCCATTATCCGCGACATTTACCTTGGAAGATTGACCGTTATCAAAGACAGTTATGGAAATGTAGACATTACCAAGAAAACTAGAAATTGGTTATATTCTTGAATTTATGGGTGGTGCTTTTCTCTCCTGATACCTTATAGCAATTTTAATTGTGAAATACGTCCTCATCTATGATTGATATACAAAGACATAAAATCAAGATGTCAAAGTTTCACACATGCAGTATGCATATTTATTAATGAACAGAACACCTAATTGGTTAGTTTGTTTCGTATTTTTGTATAGCAATGTCTTCAGATCACAGATAGATAGGTGGCCGATAGCCCATTAACACGACAAAAAGACCATCTTCAGTGAGTGTTTTTTTTTGCGATATTTAGGTCACAGCACGTGTTGAAGCTATGATCTCATTATGCAATAAAAGGGTGTAAATGTGAGAAGTAGAGATAGTTTCGGATTATTGAACTCAAGTTAACATCGGATTTAAATGTTGCAAGACTAAAACAGTTTGGTTTATTACCTATTATTTCTATTATAATTAGCGATTGAAATTCATCACACTATTGCTTCCGGGTTCCAATTCTGTCATAAATAAATTTACACTACCTTTTCATCGCCACTTAAATATGTGTTACTAACGCATTTATCATAATAATAATTTTTTTGATGATATCTTTGTCTCACGAGCACCAAGCTCAGTTTTTAATCAGATGTTTTCCAGCTTGAACACGTGTAAGTGGTATAAAACGTATACAATTTATTCACTTAAAAGGGTGTCACCACGTAAATGGGCAAAATAAATTGAGCTTCAGACATATCATCACTGACAGTGAAGGTCCTGATTCTTTCATCTGAGTGGTGTTTTTTTTTATTATTCAATAACCGTAAAAGTAAATGTAATGAAGATCAGAAAAGGGTCAGAAAGAAGACCTTTTCTACTGGAACTCGTAACAATTGTCCTCGAGATTATTGAAACAAAACTGCAGAGTATATTTTTTATAGAAATATTAACAAATATCAATAAATTCGAATTTCTTAGCAATAACAATATTAATAAATGAAAGCACTTGACAAAATACACATTAAATTGAAATCACATTATAATATCACTGGTACATATATAAAGCGTAAAAGAACACCCCTCCTTTCTGAAAAAAGTTTTGATTTCACTTAAACAGGTATGTTTGCAGATTTCGACATAGGAATTATGAAGCTAAACTGATTGTCCATAATACGTGAACGAGATAAGGGGTTATTTAGGCGATAAGAATACATAAAAAAACGAAGAGAAATCTGCGGTTCTGGCCCAATTGGCGTTGTAAACCCAACAAAAGCTGTAAGTCTTTTTCTATATTCAACATACTCGGAATACATTGCTCTAGTATTGTGAGATTACACAGGATTTAACTTTCTTGTAGCGAGCACATAGAATACATCAAAGTTCGTCATTTCACTGTGCGACCACTTCCAGTTTTAACGCCATTAATCACGATTAAATACTCTATGAAATAGTATTATTATATAGAAGGATGTCTTGATACAATAGTATATTATTACGCAATCAAATTATGGCCATTACAACAAATTGTGTGCATTTAACGTTTTAAATTGATCACAAGTAAATATCACAAGTTCGAAAAAAAGGAAAACGTTTGAAATTTTACTTCTATCGGTCGTTTATTCTGTTTCTTGCTTAGTTTCTGCATTCTCGGGCTTCACAATGGGTGGCCACGGTGTGTCTTGACGTTCAAGTGACTTTGGATGGCAATCAACAGCTCGTGCTTTTCCAGAATCTTGTCGCTCAAATGATCCGCGGTGGACATCTGATAATTTTGGTTTCTGTTTTCCTAAGAGCTCACATCTGATTTCATCAAGTTGTGTTTTTAATGACGATAAGTTACCCGCCATCTCAGTCTGCATTGATTCCTTGGTTCTCCATTGGTTTAGTATTTCGTATCGGAAACTGGAAATATCTTGTTTTATTTCTTCAAAGTCATCTAAAATACAAATTTGCTCATTTTAAAAGCTGAATAACAATAAAAAAAAAACACCAGTTCATTGTAAAAGAGAACAAAGCATGCGGCAAAAGTAAACAATTTTTGCCGAGTGTTAGTTGTTACCGCTTATTAAACCTAAGAATCACTTTGAACGACAATGCAACGTACCTTCTGTTACTTCGGCCTCTCTCTGTATATCAAATATATATCTTTGGATAATTCTTTGCATAACTTTCTGAAATTGATGAGAGGTGATCATGAATACGTCTTAGTTCACCTGGTGATGAACATGTAAATTGTAAAAGATTGTGTACAATATGTTATTTAATGTGATCTCTACTTTAAATACTGCTAAAGTATTATCTTAATTCTGTGTTTTAGAAACACTGGAGAACCCACACATAGTTGGTAATAACGTGCTTCTAAGCAACGACCCCATCAATATATAAAACATCTCCATCACAAAGATTGCTATCAAAAATATAACTATTATTCAATCTTCCTCTAACGCAAATATCATGGCATCAACTTCAAGAGACATTGTTAATTAACAAAACAAAAAAATATTTAATAAGAATTAAAAATCTCACAGGAAGCACCACTTCCTGTTTTTGTTTTAATTATTTATAAAATAAAAATTTATTACAAAGATTTTAAGTCTCTAACTGATAGTGAAGAAGTACAAGTCTAAGATTAAAAGATATTGATATTAACACGTAAATTCCTTGAAATCTGATATTAAAACATTGTAAAACATTGTATATGATGACTTTAGTAGATGATGGCATTAAATTCAAATGTAGTTTACATTTCTTCAAACAAATTCATCAAACTACATAAGCCGTTCGTGTGGGATCGACATTAAATTCTTTAAGCAAGTGCAGAAGGGACACATCACGTAATGACATTTTAACAAACAAACATACCGAAAAGAAAGGTAGTGTTGCGTTCAATACATTTGAGTGTATAAACTCTATATTAAAAGACCTTTGAATACTTGTAGATTTATTTATTGAAATGTACACATGGATAAAGAAATGCATCAAGACGTGAAATTGTAAATTGACCACTACCTGAGAAGAAGTACGATTCCATAATTCAATTAAATCTATTAAGTGTACTCCCAAGGCGCTATTATTATATGTAAATGTGTAAGAAGCTGACTAACCTACTTCGTTCTCTTAAGTGATCGCAATTTTGAGTTTATTTTATTTTAAGGATACTGTTACAAAACAATATTGAAAGAGAATAAAGCAATGTTTTTTTAGAATCTCATGTCCATGTTGTTCGTTTAGGGCAGTGACTTCCAACGTTAGGGTTTTGCAGTCTGACATAAGATTTTTTTGAGAATTATAATTCAGGGCTATATTCTCCGTCATAAAAATTATTGCAAGGGGGTAATGCCATCGATCAAGGACCCTGAAAGGTATAGAAAGAAAAGGGTTGAAATGGGATACATTCAATCAACAGTTATCTAGCTTGACAGATAGAGTTACGACGTATCTTTATATCGACACATTCAATCTCAAACTACTAGACCGGAAACCGGATAATTACAGACTAACCCAGTGAGATGAATTTCATATTATGACCATGGTAACAAATGGGTTACTGTTCATTTTTTTTTTATCTTTGAGCCCCGAAATCTCCAATTATCTCCTGTATCTCATACCAAAATGAAATCTACTAATAGTGGGTAGGAAGTACACGATTATCGTTAACACACTATGATTACGAATAAGAATAGCGGTCATGAGTTTCAAACGCAACTCTCATGCAACTGATCAGACTAAACTGGTAATCGTTATGGTGCAACGGCACTTTTCAGGGACATCTTTTGATACAGATTAAGTATGGTCTGTATGGTCTTAAAATGAATCCTAAACTATCTTCAGTAACTTTTAAGTAGCAAGTCGCGTTTCTATATCAATTGAATTCAAATCCCTCCAGTGTCGTTAAAACTCCATCAATTTAGTATATAATGCTTGTCTTAGCCACCTTTAAATTGTCTTCAATTATCTAAATAATAACAACATTGACGTCCGGTCATCCCACTCTGTCCAGAAGCATGCTAGTCCATTATATTGAGATTGGGAAACATGATGACTTTTAGTAATTTTTATGTACTCTTCTGAATGTAGTTAAACCTTCAAACTAAGTCTTATTTGTAAGCAATTTAGCTGATTTTTCTGTTGTAACACATCCCTTAACGTCATTGAGCAACCTTTGGCATATAACGTGCATAAGATTTCGATAATGAGAATCCAGAATCGAACCAGTGGCAGCATCATGCACCGACATCCAACACACTGATGAGCATTAAAGATCTGATGTTCCAGATGCCACTATATATAATTTTGTCCTCATACTTTAAATTTAATAAAATTCCCAAGAATTAACAGCAAATACATTTTCTTGAATTTGTCCAATCAACTGACAGAAAACATTTTCGCTGCAGATAATTAAATCGAGTAGCTAATATGGTTCAAGTTCAGTTTTTCGTAGCATTTCCGTCGTTTATTTATGCAAAGTTATATCATCAGCAATAACGACCTTGGAGATCATCTTGGCCTTTCTGTTTCTACACAGTAACTTTTGATTATAAACGATTGTAGATTCATTGTTCAATTCATAGTCTTTTAAAAGAAAAACTAGTGTTATTTAACGGATATATATTCTACAATTGATCGTCAATTTTTTTTGTATTTCTAAATAGTTTATTGGCCATTTACAGCCATTTTCTTCCATATGTTCATGGAAAACATTAGGTTTCTTAGAACTTTCTGGCACATTACTTATCCTACTAGTAGTCTAATAATCAGCGAGTCATAAATTCAAGATATCAAAAACTGTGACATTTCTACAAATATTCATTTCCACATGAAATGAGTTTGTCATGATAAGGAGAGAAGATGAAATATAATTAGTCCATCAATGAGTAGTCAAGACCCCTTGATACATTCTCAACACATACTTAGCACGACATTCTTATGTACAATTACGCCATGATAAAGAGATCTTAAATATCCATTTCCGATTATACAAAACGTTCTCCTTGGCACAAATTATTTGCTTCAATATAACTGCGTGAGCTTATATCAGTTCAAAGCTCATTTTGGTTAGTTCGGATCATTTAAAATGAAAATGCAAATTCTTGAAAATCGAATAGTTGTTTGGAGATCATGCCATTTTTCATAAAAATCGAAGCAAACGTTTACAAACGAATTGAGGATGTACGTTAGAACGGACGGACGGTTAGGATGACTAATTGATATCTATTCTTGAGTAAATATTTTCAGAAATTTAAATACCTGATAAGTTATTTTCCCGTCTATATTTTCATTTTGGGTTGCAGACGTAGAAGGAACTGTTTGTTGCCCACTGGATGTTCCATTCGTCTCTGACATCTCGACGGCAACAGTGTCATACGCAGGATTTGATGACTGAAATTATATAATATTATACATAAGATTTAATTGCCTAATTAAAGTTTTACATAAGGGTACTACATCTTTTTGTACATTTTAAATTTACTTCTTAATTGATGTGAACATTCATAATGCAGAACAAAACAAAAATAATTGTTTTGTTATAGATGGAAACTGCAACGAAAATCGTGATAATGCTTAACATCACAGTTTCCATCTCCACAGTTTGTTCCTTCTAAGGTTTATGTTTTTTTTTTTGGTAATGACTTGTTAAGTTTAAAGTATCATCATAAATAAACGCCGTTAACAATAAACTCCGATCAATGTTTGATGATAAACGATCACTTTTGTACCAAAATCTCAGATTCCCTATCATCTCACACTTTCCATTCATGCTTTTCTTTATCCTTGCGATTTTTTTTCTGTCCTCAAATTTCACGATTATCAGACAACGATAAGGGTTTTCATATTACAATATGTCTTTATACGAGGAATAAACCAAATCTAATTTGTATTTAAATAAAATCAAATGTCTCCTCGAATCTGCAAATCTGCTTGTACAAATCAGATGACAGCCACTTCATTACAGCCATTATCAAAGTGAGCAAATCTAAAATTGCTTTACCTCGATGACTTGTGAGCTGCCTTTGAGATCTGAACTGAACTTTTGATCATTGCGAATGCGTTATGTGCAAGTTGCGTTCAATTACGTTTGAGTTGGGCTCAAAATTTACTTGTTGCGTTTAACCTGCGTGCTACATGTACATGTACATATAAATAAAAGATAAAAGCGGAGCTGATTCGATACTTTCTCAGGTTCCCTCACTCCATAGCGACCACAAATTGCGTATGGTAGCGAATGAAAAAAAAATAGTGGTAATTAGCCAATTTGCTATTACTGCCCCATAAACCAAACATTGCTTGTTGATTATTTTTACAGCTGCAGTGTACGGTCAAGGTGGTCTCAGGTCGGTCTTGCGATTAGCAGATCTAAAAGCACCCTATAATTTTCTACATGTACTGCATGTTACTGGTGGCATCTGGGAGACTCCGATGGATTTACTCTACCTGAGACCCCTAATGATTGTTTTTGTTTCCACTTCATTGCTCTACTTCATTAGCAAATATTAGGTCATTGGTTTGACGCTCTATTTAGGATTTCACCTTCCCTCCTTTGTAAATCAAATTAACATATGGTTAAAACTGAAAACAAATTCTAATTAGAAATCTATTCCTGTCCATTTATAACTAAAACACTTAATAAGAAACTAATTTAGTGTGATATTGTGAAATAATTTTGGTTACAAATCATTAAGGGTCACCTTGCAGGTGCATTTTCAAAATCGGAGAAAAAGATAAAACATTTATATCTTTTGGAAGATAAGAATTATAACATATTAAAAAAGGTTTGGTCGACTCATCACTTATACTCATACACGAACACCTTAATTGCGCTGTTATTGTTATTCTCTTAATATTGCCTCCTTAGCACTAATGAATTGAAAGTAATTTCATAGAAGAGATTCCTTTGAATCGAAATTTGCATCATGATTTTCGACATTTAGGCTTCATGGAGGAAAACGTCTAGATGAGTTAAAGCTGATAATTTCGGTGGTAAATACATATGGTCCAATTATCTATTTTAAGAAATAGTTTATATTTCAAAGTATTTATAGAAATACAAGTTAGCGTAAAGGAATGATGTTTACCGCCAACTAGTCTTGATTTAGATACTCAGTCAATCAGAACGAGATAGTATAAAGAGGAGGTCTACTGTTCTTCTAGTCGATTATTTGTACCATAATAACTGCTGGATTCGATCACAACATACACACAGTAGGATATTTCTTTCTTTAATAAGGGACTTAAATCCCCTCCACCTCCTCAAAATAAAATGACAGATAACTGATACCACGCCATCAAGAAATTTCTCAAAAGTAACGGAAGCCACACCATTTAAAAATGTTTTCCAAATTATTAATTGAGAATATACAAGTGTTTTGATATTGAAATAAGTCTAAAGCTGCTTCAATCAGCATTTAGTTTTCTCTGCTAAAACACACAAGAAGTTGGCATGCGAGGGTTATAATAGAGACTAAATCAAGATGCATGGACATTGCATTTAGGACGTACCTTTAATCGTAAACCGAAAACATGATTACTAAGTTCCCAAACATGCATTTTATAATACTGTACTAAGTGAAAGAAATCCATTATTTGAATGTTTAGAGACAGAGGCTATAACTCCGTAAATGTATGAAAAATTTCAATTCCAATGTAAACCAAGGATTTGGATATGAGGCATTCTTAAAAAGGAAAAGTTTTTTCTGAGACAACACGACCGCCGACAAAAACATCATCTGGGGAATACACGCCGATACACTTGGTATAATTAAAAAAAATATCATCTAAAATCAAAGTTAAAACAGAACCTTTTTGTAAAAGGGAAATTTAAAATCCAAATACGTTATAACTAAAATGAAGTTTATAAAACAATCCAGAGGTATTTTGCAGAATTAATAAATTGAATTGATAAACTCCGTTCAATGAGAGATATAATTTTCTTAACATTTTTTGCTATAATAAATCTGACTCAAAGTACCCCAATATAGAATGTCCAAGGACATTTAAAGGTTGTTTTTGTTATCGTAACATTTTTAGCATTTTCGCAACTAAACTGTTAATTTTACTAAAGAGATAAGTTTACAAAAAGCAACGTCCTATTGAGGCGAGGCTCATTTAAAATAGGTTTATTGGATAAGAATAATTATCACTATTTGATATTGAAAAGGTCATGTATGAAAGTAATAGCTCCGTCACACCGGACCGGGGCCAGTTGCGATCTTGACGATAAAGGTCCTCAAAAGATTACAAACTTAAAAACAGTCGACCACATACTGCGAGTAATGCTAACGTGCTAACGTTCTTGAAAAGCGTACTGCGCTTTTATACCGCCCAAGGCAACGATACATGTTACAACGCCCTTCTCGATCCCATGGAGTTCTTACCGCGTCATTACCTGGGCGTTTGAACATGTCCAAATTAACCGCCGTGACTCGGCGACAATTGCTTATACCACGCTTATGGCGAACTTTACACACGCTGAGCCCATTTTAAGTCGCAGTAAGAACACCTTTCCGTGTGACGGGCCATAACGGAGCGACCGCGACAATTACACCTTGTTGTATCTTTTGAACCATCTCTGGAGCAACATGGTGCATGTTGTTTACTTCTTAAATCTGAATAAAATCAAGACCAATCTTTGTGAATAAAAACACTGAGCTATCTTCCATTCACAACTAAATTGACTTCGTTTGTCAAATATCACGGCAAAACTTAAACTTCATTCAATAATTTTTTGATGTATTCCAGTCCAAATCAAAAAGAAGAATTTTTTGACATTGTGTTATTTGAAAGGATATTAAAAGCTAGTGAATGTCAATCAGTTATATAGCTTACAGAGTTAATTAAATAGTTTCTACATCTGGAAGTCAACTGAGAGTAAAGTATCTGGATATTGAGAGCAGATTCATGTCGTTTGAGCTTTGCGAACTATGCATATAAGGTAGTTTTTGTTGTTAATGCGTCATAGTTCAACAAATTTAAATCATAAATCAAATATCCGAGTATGAGAATTAAAAATTATTTGAAATCACTATTCTCAGACTTTTATCTATTAGCGAATAAAAGAGTATTGATCGTCTATTTCACCAAAACACACTTCTATCAATTTATGATTTTTCATACTTTTAACGCTCATATTTACTGCTTTCTGTGTGTTTTGTAATCATCGCATGATTAAATCACTAGCATTAATTCAAACATTCAGCAGTATCAGAGCGCTGATGGAACTTTCATGCAAGACCGTTTGTAATTGAAAAGGACCATCAAATAAATCGTATGTTTTGTAACATATCAATGACTGAAAAACCTATATCGAATTCCACAAATTCTTAAAGCAAATTTTTACCTTTATAAAACAGAGACAGAAACTATAATGTCTTCCTAAAAATAGGATATGATATTGTTTTAACAAACTGTATACTCCATATTTTTTGTCTAATTTGTTACTTTTTATACCTTAGATGATTCTGTTATCTTTAAGAACTAGTTTGTCTATATTTAATTTGTTAGTTGTAAGGTTGGGTCGTTTCAGCTCATTGAAAGAAGATATATTAAGGTAGTTGATTGGCATTTTGGAGAGATTAAAATAAATTTCTTGTCGAACTTGAAGACATGATGGAATTTTTTAAGGATTAAAATTTTTACTTCTGACATTTATCAGAACAGAAAAAAAGTGACCTCCTTTTAAATTCATGTTAACTATGATAAACCTTTCAAATGAATTTGATTGGAAGATGCCGAGCTAAATCAGCGACACAGATATGACGGTAATTGCATTCGCAATCGTTGGATATTCGCTGGGTAAACCTGCTCAAAAATAGCAAGGAATTGGGATATGCTACAGATATTAATACCTAAGAGTACATTAAAACGAGGTTAATCGAGAAGATAATTCCAGGTCTGCTGTACAACGAATATATCTAGAGCTGGGTTGAAACTATCTTTAAGTTTCTTTGTGGACCGGTTTGTATCGTAATGGATTACAGTTTTCTCGGCGATTGATTGCGTTGGGTTCGATATATTACAGAGTAGAAAGCAATCGTTGGCAGCGGAATGATTTTATTAATTATTCCTAACCTTCTTATTGTAAATAATAAGTTTTGTGGTAATATGCAGGGAAAACTATGATAATTTCCGGTTTGATCATTAGAGGTAATATACATGACCTACCCCGACAGCTTCAGTTGTAATGCCATTGTTTTCTGTTTTTTCAGGGTGATCATCATCTGAATTGTTACAACAAGAACATAATAAAGCTGATAACGCCTCCTTAGGTGCAGCAATAATATTTAAAGGAACAGGAAGAACAGCCGAGTCACTGATGTATTCCATGTAAAGAATACTTCTGGAAAACTTCCATTCAGCATCGGAATCTTCCTGGAATGACATAAATACATAGTTAGCGGAGTTTGAACAAGATGTTTTAACATAAAGGAGACACATATGTTATGGAATTCATTCGATTCATAGCCTGTGTCATTAAAACACAATAACACCAGATGATCATTTCTGATTTAAAAAAATATCTCTCGAAAACACGTCAGCCTTTCAATTCAAAAATTGGGTTTACGTATGTAAGATACTTTTGTGTATACATTGCGGATGTTTATGCCTTCAAATATGTGTTTTCGTAATTCAAATATAGAGAATTTTCGATTTGAAATATTTTCGTCTTAAATCTGCGTTCAAAAAAAGGAATTTGGAATAAGACACTTACTGCAATAGTTTGAAACGATCTGGTCATCATAGCAATCAACATGTTCAATAAGACTGTTACAGATACTGCATTATAAGCACCATAAATAATATAACCAATATCCTCCGTCACATGATTATCATATTCACCAAGTCGTACTGCTCCTGGTTCACCTCGACCAAATAATGACCAAAACACTGTCCGAAACGTTGCCATAACACTAAAATAATAGAACGATTAAAAATGAAAGGTAACTATAGTAATCTACATATACCAATATGAAACCCGGTTGCACATGGCAAAACAACTGTCGACAAAAATGAATCAAATCGGATACACCAGATCCTGTTATTTGTTATGCATTAACCCATAAGAAACCTTGGTGTAAAAGATAAAAATGAACAATGACATTCGGTATAACTGGATATGGATTAAACGGTCAAGAAGGTGATTTTGCGATCTTTGATTAAAATAACTTGCCAGATCAAGTTATGAGGGCCGATACACAATCAACAGGCATTGGAAAATCTTAACACGTAATTGAATAAATTGTCAATTAAAGTTCGTTCTGTTCGAAAAAATGTTACCAAATTCAAAATGAATACAAATTGTTTCAAAAGGGCGAACGAACCCGTGTCACTGCTGACTTTAATCATTTAAGTAATACGTATTGAATAACATTTTACAAATGAATCTGTACGTTGGTTTTGTACTCTAAGACAAAATATTCCAATCTTTTCAGTACGAATGACATACAAAATAGTTTTGTGAATGTCGAGGGCGACTGATACTGTCTAGTAGATTCATTATGTTTACATGTTCAGGACAATTGGATTTGAGAAACAGCCAATCTAATTTGTGTCAGACTGATCTTACAAAATCTACACGCCATTTATAGTAGTTGGTAATTAGGCTTCAGTAACACAGTTTTATCCTTATAACCAACCAGGTCACGTTCGCGGCCATTGTAAGCTATTTTCGGGGGTTGATTGGGGTCATGGAATAAACACTACTATACTACCTTTACTTTCGATTTTGCCAGATTAACGGAACTGTCTTGCTTGTACGGATTTTTATGTATGTAAATAGCCTTCACATTATTTTCAAATGTACCGGTTTTCAGAGGAATCCGGTTTATAAGATGCGGTTAAGAGGGGTTTCACTGTACTAAAACTATACGAAAATCGCACAATCCCTTCAAATATACTTGACTTACTCTCCAAAGTTTGTCTGTGCTGGAACTGTAATGTTCCTCTGCTCTACCTCTATGGTTTCATGTTTACTGTAATACCAGAAAAGGTTATGCAGACCAACCATAAACGCCACCATAACGAACGAAAACAAGGTTAAGAACTTTACTATATCCTACAAAGAGCAATTAAATTTACAGAATGGTTTCTCGAAGAAGCTCTACAAGAATGTGTCCATGTTCCAATGCATTCAAGTTTTATTAGCTCAGATTTTGCTTACAGTTCAATCACTGTAAGGGTAGAGATAATGGGTCCAATGCAAGGTTTATGACATTGATGGCGGCAATGACATTCACGTTTCGGGCTACCTTAAGCCCATCAAAAAGAGACATCAAATATGACTTTAAGATTTTTAAAATGTCTAAATTATGTAATATTTTAATTTGGGTCGAGGTTTAGTTCACAAGTCGGCTCCCTCTGTCGTGCATGTAAAATAGGGGTTCACGATGAAAGAATTGCTGGACGGTAAGAATTTGTCTGATAAAATCGTGAAAAGCTGAGAGATTGAACACGACCGAGAGCAAGGATGTATTGATTTCACTTGAGAGTTTCTTGAAAAAGCACTTACCGATAGCATACGGCCCAATGAAATCTGCAAAGGACCCAAACTTTCATTGGATGGTAATAGGTAACTTATTCGTGCAAAGCTTAATATATTCGCCATGGCAAATAAACCTTCCGATAGATTCACCGGATCAAACGGATCCCAATAAAAACGATCTGAAACAAAAGTAAAACATTTTACAAATGGTGAGGGAGGTAGTTTATAACCGACGGTCATATACGTTCAACATAAAATCCAAACGCTCTGCTGTTTTCTGTGCTGTCGATAAGAACTCTTCAAAGGTGTATCTTTATTATAAGGATAGAAAAGTGTAGAATTTACATAATTTGACCAAGGTTCAAAAGCATATGATGCGTCAAGTATTTAACAATTGATAAATTTATTCTTTGTTATAAATTACATCCACAAACACCCATTCTTAGTGCATGGCAAAACCAGCAGATACAGTGACTCAAGGAAAAGTGGTTTAGTGATAATGATTAAAAGGCAGCTTATATTTGATTTGGGAAGATTAAAATTAATGGTGGATGGCCATTGAAAGCTGATTCAGACTGTTCCGGAGTGAAATATTCTATAGATTAAGTCAATGAAAGTAACCAAGGTAACGAGGTAATAACTAGTGTTCAATATTGGTGTTATTCTATCCCAGGTAAATAAATCTCTTCCTGTATACATCCGGGCATTTGACATGTTAAATAATGATTTAACGTGCTGGACCACGAAACATCATTTACAATCTTTTGTTTCACGTCCGGTCTTGACTTTACCGTTTAAGATCTTTTAATTGGTCTGGAACTTAAACATTTGACTCCGTATGACATGCCACGGTCAGGCTGTCTAACGCTTTGACCTCACTTTGGTAATCTGATAATACGCTATTTAACAAAGGCTACCTTTCAGAAGAAGACCTGTCGCTTTTTACAATGACATTATGTTTTGTTGTTTGCAAGCCTATGTAACGTCATAATCTGGTAGAATTTTTCATGAAGCGCTACATAAATCAAGTTAGACATTCTATTTGCATCATGTGTAATTGAGTTCTATGTGTATCTTAGTTATGTTGTAAGCGTCGATAATTCTGTGACATTGAACCCTATAAAAAATATTGAAGGCCATTACCCTAACTAAAGTGATTAATCTATATTGCATCCGTTTAGTCAAGGTGCGACAAAAGAGTGCTAATATTTTAACAATGCTCATTAGCTATTAACAACCTCGCTATCAAATTGACTGATATATTTTAAATAAATAATAATCCAACGTGAGTGTATTATATAATAATTTAATTTGCTGGACCACGAAACATCATTTTGTTTCAAGTGCGGTCTTGACATTGAACCCTATAAAAACATTGAAGGTCATTACCCTAACTAAAGTTATTAATCTATATTGCATCCGTTTAGTTAAGGTGAGACAAAAGAGTGTTAATATTTTAACAATGCTCATTAGCTATTAACAACTTCGCTATCAAACTAACTATGATAAATTTTAAATAAATAATAATCTAATAAGAATGTATTAACATAGAAGCGTCATGTGAAAAACATAGAGACTTTATAATGACCACAAAAAATCGTTATTGCATGTTTCTTTTCCTCTGAATATAATTGGCCTTAAAGAAGATGCCACCATTGGTAAAAAAAAATGCATGTCCCACTAACAACTCCTATCTTTTGTCTTCGAGAGTGTGAAAGCAGACAAAGCAAAGTTTCTGTGAGGACTGCAGATCCAACTGGAATTTTTTGCTTTCTTACGAGCAATAAGTCTCACAAGAATGCAGGTTAAGAGGTGACTTCCAAGGTATTTAAGACTTTCTCTCAAGTAATTCCACCCAGCTAATTGAACGCTATATTCAGCAAGGGTTGTGGCTTAGTGTACTTTTCCAACATCAGCAATGTGACTAATGTGTACGTCAGTTTTTATTTAATAAAAAAAAATGTTATTACTACCAAATAAATATCCCCTGGTTCGCGAAATATGCCAAGACCATTCGATTTCGAGTTCGTCTAATAACAATGGAGTATTCTTTGTTTTATATACCTCACTCGTTTACAACTTTTTAAATGTAAATCCCTTTTAAGCGTAAGTGTCACCATCTAAAACATATTCAAGTTTTACGACAAATACCATCGAGTGACAATCGGATTTCCACCTCAACTCCAGTCTGAGCAGTGCATAACAATTAAATTCCGTAAAAATATGAGACAATATGTATCCTTTGAAATAAGATAGCTTACAAGGCAATGTAACAAACGCCCACTGGCAGCTTTGATTTTTACATAAAAATATTTGGCAGTACAGTAACAATTACCAGTATGAAATATTCATCCTTCGGTCATAAAATTCTTTTGAAATTTTTGAGGCGATACTTAAAAATATCACCGAGTTCTGTCAAAATCTGTCACGAATTGGGCATCAAGAGTTTTTACGGGCTAAAACTTGAACGCATTTTCAAGAACAAGGGCAATAACTCATACTAAATATTTTTAGATTTTTTTCTGATTTTCAATAGGGTTCATCAGTGAATGATTACAAGCGATCATACCAAATTTCAGTCAAGAATTGTGCCTTTAAGAGTGTTTTCGAGCAATTGCGGACAGACGGAAATGGGTGACGGCAATATACGCCCCAAACTCATGTGTGCATATAAAAGCTAAGATTAAATTCTGTTGCGGGGTTCCTCTTTGAAATATTGGAAATCTGTAAATTGGCATTCTTTGTGGGAATTAAAGTCAAATTCTAGATTCTGTGTCGTATCTTCTGACAAGACCAGACAAGATTTGTGGATGTCACAGAAACGTAATTGATTTAACTACACAAAAATGTCGATAAACGGAATAATCTTGTATTAAAATACTGATTGAAGAATTTTATCTGAAAAATTCACTGCACAAGGTTTGACGGCATCGTTATTTACTCCATGTTTGGAATATTAACCAGAAACTTATTTTCTGTGTTTTGCATATCATTAAGGAAGATGAGATTTAACAGCATCTTTGATCGTGAATAAAATATTCGTATGTCATGACCATTCAATTTTCAATTTCATTTCGTGACAAGAAAAATTACATAAAATATTGTTGTTACGTTGGCAACATGTGAGCGATAACCTTTCTTACAAGCACATAAATGGAAATAACATGATAATATGCGATTGCTAAAATTACACAATTATATTTTTCACACATCTAATCTTCCATATTGTCAACTTGGCCTTTGTCCACTGGCCAATCGTTGTTCGTACCTGCGCATTGATAAGAAGTAAAAACATAGTTTCTGCCAGTCTCCTGACAAGAGTGGATCTAGCTTGATGACCTGAACGGTAAAAAGTAAAGAGCATAAGGATGATCGAAGTTGTTTGCATTCGATTTGAACTGAACTGTTAAGATTATTTAGGCTACAATAATAGTTTCATCAGTTACTTCCCTTGAGCTTTGATCCGTCTCGTTACCATTTTTTTTCACAAGAAGCTAATTTTTTGTACCTGCGTATAGTTAGGAAGTAAAATAATTTCTAGCCAACTAAAAAAAAATAATTGCTGCCATCTCGATCTGAGATGACTCTTGAACTGTAGCATTATGAATAAAAATATTTTCATCAGTTACCTCCCTTGAACTTTGACCAGTCTGGTTCTGTCTTTTTACCTTCATATATTTGTGTATCTTGAGCAGGGCGTCAGGTTTAGTATGCTTTCTTCTTTAGACACCTTATACCACTTTTCATTATGAAATATTTCCTCATTAATGATATATATACTTATTCATAAGCTGAAAGTTCATTAGCTGCAACCAATGTATTGCCCATAATATTATGTTTTGGATTTCGAGTTTTATTTGCGGTTATTTGAATGTTTTTAATTGAATCGACAGTCAACCTTACCCACTCCTTAATCATTATTTAACGAAATTTTAAAAATAGAATAACATTTTCAATCGAAATAAGTCATACCAACTTCTGATAATAGATCTGACAAAGCAACAAAAAAATATTACCTGCATTCAACCAATACATCGTGTAAAAACCATCTTCAGCTGAATTAAACTGTCCTTTTATATCATCTAATGCTCCATAAAACTACAAATAAAGTATATAATTTAATAGTATGTAATATGTATATAATGGGATTCTAGCCTGGTATTACCGACGTAAGAATGGGATTTGATAGTCAAATTGAAAAAATATGAAGGTTATTTTGTTCAAAAAACAGAATCAAAGTACAGATAAAGATATCTTGCTAGGCAAGGTACAATACACCGACTACCAGCTGTCAGAAATCATAACAAAGTAACAAAGTCTGTAGTGGTTTAATATGTGAAACCAATAATCCGATTTTTACTAATTTCAAGCTTCACGGAGATCTCATACCACGTTTCATCAAGATCGTATAAAAAATGTAGTCTCTATCAGGCCAAAACCGTTCATCCAATTGTTACCAATTTCAACTTGACGGAGATCTTGTCCATATATACATGCATACTAAGCTTCATCCATTTCGGAAAAAAACTGTAGTCTATAGCCTGCCTAAAAGCCAATTTTACAAAGTCAAAGGCAATATCCATGAAATCGTTCATCCAATTATTACCAACTTCAAACTTAACCGATATCTCATCAATATATTCATGCATACTAAGTTTCATCAGGATGGTATCAAAATTGAAGAGTTCATTGAGCATACCAGGTAATTTTAACACAATTTTACTATGTCAAGGGCAATAACTCTGAGACCGATTATTACCCATTTCGAACTTGACCTAGATCTCATCAATATATATATGCATACTAAGTTTCACCAAGATCAGATAAAGATTGAAACCGTTCATCCGATTATTACCAATTTCGAACTTGGCCGAGATCTTATCAATATATACATGCAAACCAAGTTTCATCAAGATCAGAAAACATCAGATAAAAACTGTAGCCTCTATCGTGCATACAACAAATGTGGACGGACGGACCGACGGACGGACGGAAGGACAGGAGCGACAGCAATATACGTCCACACTTCCATGTGTGCGTATAAAAAGGCAAGGTAATAAAGGTTTGGAACTGGACAGAATAAATAGGTTATTGTGGGTTTATCAGTTACCTAGACAACATTTTTTCTTTTTTTTATCTCAATTCCTTGTGGTAAAAACAAATTATCTTTTATATGAAAAGCAATTTATGAGAGTTACAAAACAATATAATTCAATAAATAGGATGTTTTTTTAAAAAAAATAAAATAAATAACAATTGTTTGCTTACGAGCATGAAAAGCACTATCTAATATACAGTACGGCATATACATTTATCAAAAGCTTCAAATTCAACATTATAGTGGGACTTAACATCTAAATACGTAAAATAATGGAACTTCACAGTCCATCTTTCAATCAGGTAGTAGGCAACCAGCTAATAATAAACTAACTTGTCTACTTTTTGACTTTTTATGTAAATGAATAGTTACGAATGTGGTCCGTGTTATTTTTTAGAAATCCTCTTGCGTGTTATTTTGAGAAATTTTTATCCAGAAACTAAGCATTGGCCAGGCTTTCATGTGACATATTGGAAAAAGTTATAGAAGGTTGAATTTGGAGATTGAACATGGAAACAGGTGGCAAATGAATTACTGGAGGCGATTCTGTCCGTATATACAATTTTGGTACAAGTTACCTCCCTTGAAGCTGAAATACATGTTCATTTGTGTTGATTTACAAAGATAGTTCAGAATGGGATAACACTTTTTGCTGATAAGATTACTCAACACGGAGTTGAGTTAAGTGTTGGCTATCCTATGCCGTTCCAATTTTAAATCACATCTTACTCAGATGTTAGACTTTAATATATTTTCCATACAGATGTAAGCTTACTAATGGCGTCATATTTTATATCGGTAATAGTAATGCTTAAGAGAAAATCACAGAACAACAATTCAGAAATTCCTTTTAAGTATACATAGTATAACTTCAAAATCACTGAAAAAAAAATTAAGTAAAATTTTCGTACTAAAGAAGTGGGCGAGGGGAGCGAAGCGAATATTTTACTAAATGCTGTAGGACCAAAATCTGTGTCTGTATTTGTGTTTTTCATCTAAAACTCAAGAGCAAGGAAAACAACTTTTAAAGTCATTATTCTCGGGAAATGTTACCGCATTTCTCAATCTATAGGTCCAATTAACACAATATGATATGATAATACAACTCACCCAGCGATATATTGAAACTTTAAATCATACATTATTTATCTGCCTACGAGTCAGCTTTTGAAAACGATTATAAAGAAATATTCTTTTTGACATTATTTTTAAGTTTTTTTTGTCTAGATGTAGAGGATATATTTTTGCAATTTTTTTTAGCTTAATCCACGCAAACCAAGGCGTATGCTTTATGACGTGTTGTCAAACAGATACCAATAATGTATGTTAATTATTGAGTTTTTTGTTAACGAAAGCTTACAAATTTTCATTCGCAATGTTTCTTTTTAACCCCTTAGAAAGTGTTTTTTGGGGAAGATAAAACACAAACTAGATCAATTTAAACATGGAAGATTATTCAGAAGAATAATTTTGTATGAAACATTCACCTTCAACATTTTCCTGTGTTGGAAAGATCAATTTATTTCAGAAATTCTTAATGAAAAGTATGCTTGAAATGATTAATGTTATGCCATGATTAGCCCTACAAATTTGAATCTACCAACAGATTGGTCATCGGCAACTTTTTGGCCAGACATAAAATGTCACTTTTTGGAGTTGCTCCGATCTCAGATTTGTCGGAGTTGTAATGTATGCCTTGTTACATTAAGGGTATGGATTAATTTGTAACTAACCTTCAACATGCTGACAACTCTCAGGGTGAAGGATGCTGTATATCCAGATATGAGAAAGAAGTCCATTATATTATAATAGGAAGTTATATAATCCAAAATACCATTTTGAAAGACTTCACTGCATTCTTGAAACATAAAACCTGAAAAAAATTCGAATTATATTTGATGCAGAATTTGATTTTAAATTTATCATTTAGGGCAAATAATTAACTGTATGGTTAAGAAAGTTCAGATAAACAATATAATTTGATCACAACGTTTTAGTGAAAATGGTTGATTAAAATTCATTTTGTCCCCTTGAATAAGGACATAAAATATTAAATTGCAAGGATTATTTTATTTGTGAATTCTGGCTAATACCAACACACATGGCTTAACACATCTGAGACTATCTATTCGCAAGTACATTCCCGAATTTGATCACAAACGTGAGAAACGCACATAATTAAAGGGAGGCTACTCTTACCTATGACCCAAAATGTCATTAAGATTGTGGTAACTGTTGGGAAATTTTCACGGAGTGGAAAGTCTTCACCAAATATAGGTGTGCCAGTTTCGTTGACCAACTCGCTATATTTCGTATATTCATTCGGATAGGTAATATTCAAAGTCCTGGTTTTCGTAACGCCATAGGAGGATTCGATGGCAGAGGCTATTATTAATACCAAAAATGCAAAGAAAGACACTGTGTGACCAACAAATTTGACAAACGGATATCGCAAAATCTTCACAAACTGAAAGCAAAAAAAAGTGATTTTAGTGAATATGTTTAAATTTGTTTTATGTGTATGCTACAGACTGATCGTGATAAAAATATTTCTGAGCCGGAAAACTAATCGACTAACAGGCAATATAGAGCATACAAAATTTCCTAGCAATATACACTGTATTTTGTTATTGTTTGTCTCCTAATTTCTAAAGCTCCAATAATTGACAGAAAACTGACGCTTAGAACTACCTTTATGTTTTCATTTGATACTCAGTTACTTTAGGGAGAGAGGCAGATATTCCAGGTTACTTACGCGTGAATTGCACTAGTTGAAAGCCGATGTTAGGTCAAAGTTTTTTTTTCGGAGACGACACTGCCAAATCTCTTACCTTAGAGCTTGGAGAAATGAGATATATAAGCAATAAGAACGGATACAATAAAAACAAACAGACTGCTAACAGAATTCTCAAAGGCCAGTTCATTCTATCCCATTTACCCATTCCATGATACCATAGTGTAACCAGTCTCTGTTGACAACTTGGATGTGACACAAACTAAAAGAACAGATCATAGTATTGATACATCTCGGGATCGTTTTTGGAGTAGATGTTTTCGAGTTCATGCAGATAGTTATATTGATATGGTTATAGTTTATCACAATTTTGTTGCGTTCTCTGATTAAGGCTGATCAAGATCACCAGACTGACTGCAATCGAAAAAAAATGATGGAGCTAATCCACAGTTCAAGCAAAATTCTTGGACTTTTCGTCCCTGTTCTCATTAACCAAATACTTTGTAGAAAAGTAGGAGGAAAAACTCAATTTTTTTTACACCTCTTCGTCTGGGTCTAGATCGTTCTTTTTCTCATACTAGTATTTGTTAGGTTTATTATAAAGCAAGATATAGATGCAAGATTGCTTACCCCCTTCTCGTGGTACAATAAGGCTAGTTTAAATCGGGCTAATTTCTCGTATTTTTCGATTGTACTTCTTCCTGTTTTATTCAAAACCATTTCCAGTTCTTCCTGGGTTCGAATTCTGTCCAGTAACTTTACCACATATTCACTTAGTTGTTCTGCTAGTTCCCTGTATTCTTTCTGAAATGTGTATTAAAAAAAGAATCAAATGCACAAAGCCTTTTCAGGTAATGGTATTTCTATTCAAAGGGTGGCACCAAGCGTACTGAGGGGATATCAAAACAATCTTACGAAACCTGCGTGATCTTCTGATAGATGGAAGAGGATTGTGTCCCTTTATTCGTTTACTATTGCATTCCAAAATCAGATACACGTCGTCTGGAAAATCATATCCTACCTTGAAATGTTTTGCAATATTCGCCAAATTTCGAAGATCTTGCGCAAGTTCAAATGCTGACAGAATAGGATCTTTACTAGAAAGAGATAAATATGCTTCACTTGCGAGTCCCCTGTAGGCATTTAATCTGTATTTGGCTAAGCGAAGTTGGTCAAATTTCATCTTGTTTCGACATTCTTGACATGGGCAACTAAATCTGTGGGGTTTCTGTATCGTTTCCCCACGTAGTAACAAAAGCTGAACTATTTCGTATTGGTTTTTCTGAGCAGCCAGGATCAGCGGAGTGATATCTGGAGAAAATTGCGACTCTGCTGTCACGGCGGTTTTAAAGAAGCCGTCTGTATCGCCCAATTTTCTTCTTTCGCGCCACATATCCAGATAGCGACGGTGCTTGAGGATGGTTTCTGCGATTTGGACATGACCAGCGCTGATAGCTTGTAACACAGCTTCATAGATGTGGTGTTGACTCGATCTGTCCAGTAACAATTCCACTACCTGCAAATAATAAGAGAAAATCTAAGTTGACATGTATTGAGATATATTAGCACTTAATGTGATGGTATAGAACAAGTCTGTTGCTTACCTTTGGATCTGTTTCAGTCAAGAATGGATATAAATATTTTAAATCCATAACATTATTGTGATTTTTACTTGTCATACTAAGTTTCTATTATAGTGGATCACATTTCAATTAACAGTGTTAATCCAGCAAACATATACAATGGGTTGTTCACACCATCATGCTACAAGTATGCTGAAGTAATATTCGTTATGCCACGTGAGTCCATGTCTAAACTGCCAGTAATTGTTTTATCTTATATGATATCCATACAGAACAAAGGTTACATTAATAATTCCGAAGTTATAGAGCACTTTTACATCATACCATTTGAAGAATAACCTTCCTGGGATGGTTATATTCCCTTATTAACCATAGAAATATCAAACAATTACCCTAGTTGACCACATTAACATTTTTATGAATAATGTTTAATGATATATGTGAAGATAGATTTACGTGTCAGAATGCCGATATGTTGAAAATTGATATCCATTGCGCTGTTCCTTGTTTCCACACTATATTTATACTATACATTTTTTTTTTCAACGAGGAACTTTTTGCATCACAGAGCAACAACAAATATGTTGCTACAAGCATTTGGAGATAATATTTCGCGCATTTATTTTCATAAAGAATGAATGAATCATATTCCCCGAAGAATTCAACATTCTCACGTCCATTATTTATTTATTCTAATACACTGATAAATATAATCGCATAGGGTCTTAATAGAACTATATCCCTGATACAACGCCATAATGGTATTCCAAAGTTTCGAGAAGACAAAGAGTTTAATTATCACTATGCCCAGGCAAAAAAAGCTAAAACTGTGCTGGTTTGGTAACAAGTCATTTCACATATGATCTACTACATAGAATTAAAAATGTTTAGAACAAAGCAAATCTATTACACGGTATCAACACCAATTGGTCACTCCCATAACTAGTGATCAAATACTATGAAAAATTCCAACAATAAAAAAAACGTTTAAGCTCAGAAAAACAGTAAACAAGTAAAACCCATTTCAAACACGGAAAATAGATCTAAAACGATATATAATAGAGAAATAGCAATACACTATTTGTAAATTTTAAATATATCGATTCCAAATGGATGTTTTGAGTGTTGATTGGATGTAAATAATTAAACGTTAAGCTATGTCATTATCATGTAACAATACCACAATTGATTGTATATCACGAATCTGTCTATCGTTTTCAAATAAAAATCGTTTTTCCATTTGATTTTTCTACATTAAGCTGAACGCACCAAAATGATCTATTAATTAAATCCAAATATCACAAGCATTTATATACAGCATGTAGAATTATAAAATGTAACAAGTTATTTCTTAGAATCGTTCGTAACACATGGATGCCTAATTGCTTCTATGTTAAACAATACTTTTTAAAATGATTTTCCGGTTTTGAATAACATTAATGTTAAGTATGTTTTAAGAATTAAAGCATTCTTGAATTGTTCGGAATAACCCACTGTATTTATGAACAACGGTACTAGATTAGTTATAGATTATAAAACTTGATATGAAATATTGATGTCTTAATTAAGTATAATGGATAGTTGTTCTCCCTTTGTAATATATTATTATGAATACAGATCATTGGTATTACCATAATATTGACTTTCAGGCAACCTTTGGTCCAAGTTTCAATTCAGGTTTTGAAAACAAATAATGAACTGGGATTGTATATGGAATCTCAAACTGAAAAGTGTGGCAACGCCTGTCAATTTGATTCTTGATAATGTATAAGCCTACCGCGTGTCACCATCATACAAAGAGCTCTTGTTACATTTACGTTACCAATAAAATTATATGAAAAAGATTTTATTGTAAAATAATAACAACAAACCTCTAAATGTTCATTTTTAACTGCCAAACGTAAAGCTGTTCTTCCAAGTGCATCAATACAATCAGTATTCAAATCTGGATATTCTAAAAGTAATCTTTTAACGCCAGGGATATCACCAAACTCTGATGCATGTAAAAACTCTTCTTCTGCGTCCGCAAACTACAAAGTAATGATTGAAATAAAACGCAATAGACATGACATTAAAACAAACGATCTTATATTGGTCCAAATTTCGCTTTCGGACACCCGAATGCCATTTAGTATCCAATATGAACTTTAATTCGTATGATTTTCATTAGTATACAGTTACTGAACTGAAATTCATTTTGAAGACGGTATAATCCATCAGAAAAAAACGGAATAAAGCAGACAATTATATATTAAAATCTCTAAATAAAGGTTTTTAACTCAGAGATTACAAACAAAATTCAAAAGGTTATTCTTCATATTTGGAGTATATCCTTGCAACTCGAAGCATCATATATCGATGACTTCCTTAAGTAAATGTTAACAGGCCAAATACGCCACGAATTGCTCGTACAAAATAATAGTTATAAAGCCTTAACCCGGAAAGTTGATTAAATTTTTCGTTTGGAAATAAGATTCTAAGTCTAAGATAAAAAACCACCGCAATTCTGATCAGTAAAAGTGATCGATAACAATACACTCATGGTATTACTGCTTTAGTAGATCTAATCTAAACACATATAATCCGGCGAAAACATATTATTATTAACATAAAGCGATAGCAGATAACCACACATCACAAGAAATATACACCCACTCGCTTAAAAATAAAAACTTACGCGATAAATTCCCTGAGATGTCGAGAATTTCAAGCCATATCTTACTCTATGAGCACCAGACCACTGTCTGCATGTCATTGTATCAAGCACCTTTGATAATGCTGGTCTTCAATTTTTTCAATTATTCAACACACTTTTAATTGACCACGTCAGGTTTTAAACCGTATTTCATCCCAAGTTACATTAAATTATTCAAAATTTTTTTCAATAGATTGTTCAATATTACTATCGCGTAGATCTCAATACTAAAGACTAATTCGATAAATAATGTTATCCTTATTAATATTAATAAGCAAAGTTGACCAAAGCTATTAGTTCATGAGTATGGACCAATATATTGGTTGAAGTCGTAGTACTCCGGTGATATTTCTACTAAACAATTGATTTCAGAAAAAAAACATTTAGCACAATTAAATTTGAGTTTTAATTTGTTTCTTCTAAGTTATATTGAATTAGCGTTTTCCTTCACAACTGCTTTTTAAGCAATGCTAATGATTACCATGTTGCTTTAAACAAATCCAAATACATCTTAACTATCAAATTGACATTTAACCATGTATAAATACTTGAATTTTTTTAACCAAATCGTATCGATGCGATCTTCGCTTCTAATTCTCATAAATCGAACAGGTTAATCTAGATTTCCCCCACAAGAGTACAAAACACACATACACACAGAGCATAATCTTCAACTATTAAAATAGGTATGTATGTATCGATGTATGTCAGTGACTGTTATGATTTCTATTAATTATCATTGAGTCTCATTTCAAAACTTGAAACCGAGACATCATTACAGGTTGAATCAATGCGAATATGTATCATTAGCGACTGTTTGAATATACAATTTGTCATAATGTTATTAAGTTACCTTGATGTCATGTTCAAGGTATATTATTTCAGTTATTTTGCTATACTTCAGACGCCAATTTAAAGGTTGTTTTCGATAAAGGGGTCTTATTTCATCTGTTTACCAATTATGTTTTATGTAATTTGGAATATCAGATTCAAAATAGAAATTGCAGTCTTTTCACTAATTTGGTAATGGTTTGAAAGTTATGTCAATTTTATTTACAATTACAACCAATATTGTCCGGAAAGCACTTTTAAAACTAAATGTCATCTTTGACTATACCTGCCTTTTCCTGTGTTCGAGTAGAGATGAAGATTTTGTACGACATCATTATGTTTGGTCTGTTGTTTACAAAATTGCCCTCAACTCGAAAGCGCAAAACATCAGAAGGGCCATTACAGATTTCTTTTCACGGTAAATCTACGATTTCCACGCAAGGAAGGCTTCAAAATTACCTGACCCAAACTTTTCTCGGGCGTGCGGCAGTTTCTATGACACCCGTCTAACGCTCGGTCAACGAACGGCAAGGATAGATAGAACACTAGAACAGAACCCTGTTTAGGACCCTATCCGTCGGGGCAGATCTGTCGATGACGGTCAGGGTGCGTTCGAACATAAGCCACCGACCACATCTTTGGTCGTCTAACTTTTTTTCCCTACATTAACATTGGATTCAGATATATTTTGATATGCCATTTTATTTTAAAATAATCTATTGTAGATAAATGATTCTTTAAACTTCACTTAGTCGATTATATAGTTATTTGCAAGTGACCTTGAAGGTTAACGCCATATTGATTTTTCATTTTTATCTCTTGACTTTAATAAATGTGCTTATGTTATACTTATATGTCAATATTCGTAATAATGGTGAAACAAGGATCACGATTTATCATGAAATGTTTTATTAAATATTATATTTCAATACGTCAGTATTTCAGTTTTTCAACCTTTCTATTATGTTTCATCTTTATTTCCAGGAATGCATTACATTAATTTATAGTTTGCTTCGACTAAATAACAAAATAGCATGAAATGATCCGATGATCTCAATGACACGACGTAACAGACAACATATTTTCATTATTTGACAATAAAATACATTATAATGGGATTCCAGGTGTCCTCCAACCTTTTGGAATGCGTGATGCATTAAGATGGGCTAATATCTATTCAAATATATGATATCCTTTTTGTTATTCAAATTTGTGAAGGATTTAAAGTGAACCTGACTAAGAAACACACAAAAAAAAAATCGTATAGTGGGTTCCATGGACGAGCCTCAATTAACTTTATGTCATAGAGATAACTTGCCGGGAGAAGACATACGCACACTGCGTCAAAACTCATTCAATCTGAACTGTCTTAAATCTCAACAATCTACCAAAATCAGGCGAGAACTTTAGCCTCTAATTTGCATCATAATTTCAACATCGTTGAGATGTGAATAAGTTTAAATACAGAATTGCATTCATTCAACTTTTACCGTTTTAACATGCTGGTATTGATTGGATGGGATCCAAACATTGTGAACATTGCAAAGAACACTTCAAACAACAAATGTAAACCAAGTTTAACCCTTGATTAAAATTCTGGCTTGTTTGTAAAACATGCTGATTTTGACGGGTTAGTACACTGCAACAACGTCTCCAGATACCAAGTTTCATCAAAACATTTTTGACATGACGCCCAAGGCAATTGTTGTCAACGATTGGATCCGTACCCTTTTTTGAATAATTCATACAATAAAATTAACATACCGTGGTTTTTGTAGATTCTTGACTGGCATTGGACATGAAACTATATCTATTGGACCCATTTCTTCTTCTCCAGTATTTGGTTTTACCGCTTGGCATACTATCAACCTTAATTCGAGAAATAACACCAAATAAATTAGCAGATGCTCCCCCTGTACGTTTGACATTATTGGTCGAAGTACGTGCACGACTAATGGTAGTACCTCGTCGTTTATCCATTGTTTTTCAAATGTAAGTCTCAACACGTATATTAAAACTTCAATCAGTTATATAATACTTAATTAGTACCATTCCAGATATTAACTACGTCTACGACACAACTATATGGTTTATTAAGTTGACCACCTCCAGAAAATTGGTTCTTGATATACCATTTACGTATTTAGTACATCAGACTATTAATAAGAGAACACTTCATTATCGTATACCTCATTGTGATTCAGAAACATGTCTTAGAAAGTATCCCACTTATCTTTATAAATACACATTCCAAGTTACTATTAGCAATTACAAGTTACATCCGTTTCGCATTAAAACAAAACTATCTGTTTAGCCATTTTTGCATTATGTGAAAAACCACTGTAGAAATTATACTGATTCACGTTATCATCATCTAGCACATTTTTTTTAGTTAAGTTAATGGATTTGACTGTCGATACACGTATAATACATTGATTCAGTCCGGACTAATTGGTTTGTTATTGACAGACAATTATCTGAACTTTCCTCTCTGATACATCATTCAGTATCGCATTAATAGAATACAGTCAACAATTAAATACAATAAACAGCACATAATACTTTCAAATCAAAGGTAACAATTGCTTGGTATCAAGTATGATGCATTAGAAATCTTCCCTAACTGGAAAGATCGTCTTGGAAAACATTATGGTACTTCGAGGAACGCCCTTCCACCGTCAGCGTAGTATTATATATACGCTATAGAAGTAAAACGTCAATTAAAAGGTAATATATAACATTGTTAATGGGTTTTCTTATTGTACAGGCAATTAAGTGGAAAAGTCGAAAATTAAAATGATTGATTAAATGGGAGGGGCCAAGTCGCATAATTATTACATAATAATCCGAAAGGTCAATATTTCGATATAACTGCGTATTTAAGGTTTAGTTTTCTCAAATTACTTATATAGCTATATCAGAATTGTTAAACTGATACATGATGACGCACTTTTTGAATGAAAACTCTATTTTAAAAGTTTGACTTTGAGATGTGCAATGTTGACAAACTTATAATAAAGTTAAACGGGGTGGGAAGGGTCTAGTGACGGTCGGACTGATCTTGTTTCCAAAACAACGACACCTATTACCCAGTTAAAAACATTATGCTGCAAGGTTTCTTAATCTCAAACTTTCCATAACTAAACAGTGGCCAGCCCTTCGTCAAGTTATTTGCTCTTAAAAAGTTTTTATCTTGAAATCCAAACGCTTCGAAATATTGATAACTGAATGTTAGTCAGATGTTATATCTTTCTATTAAAATGATTACAAATGGCACTTATAAATTGATATACTCCACAGACGCCATGTATCCACACAAGTCTGTGGACAAATTCTTTCAATTGGAATAAGGGTGATAATTATACGACGACTTCATGACTGCACATAGAAGACTAGAAAGAGACAACACAAACAAAGAGATTTTGGTCGTCAAATAAAAATCGATGAGTGACCACACAAAGAACACGCTGTCCTCTACACTGAATACAGGTG